CTCCTGAGAACCCAGAAGGACGTAAAAGCCAAGAATATCTGTGGGACTTCATAAATGACTGGGTGAGGATTTTTTTACCAGTGCAAATCCGTTGTTTGCTGACCTTATAGACCCACGTGGCATCAAGCAGCCTTGAAACACAGAGTGGGGAGCAGAGCTGAGGAGTGTTGCCTTGAGGGAAATACAATCCTTGTCAAAGAAATAGTYGCCCCAAATGGTGCACCAGTCCTACAGAGAACCCGAGTGCTCCAGCCTGAGCTGGGTTTGGRTTTTTAAGGAATAAACACATGCAAATGTCATAAGTTTGCAGCTCAGAGTGGTCTCATTGGGTTAACAATTCAGCACAAAGTCTAGGCCCATGTGGTTGTCACCTGGAGGGACAGGAACGCCTGCCCCAACATCTTGTGACTAACTGCAGCACTCACCTAACTCCCTCTGGGACAGAGAGACCTGTGCACCAGCCATAGACAGAGCACAGGGAACACTACCCCCACACAGGGCTCCTCTGAGTACTTCAAGATGAAGGAAATCAAGAAAACTGCAGAGGCAGACCCCTCTGACCTCCCACCTGCTGTCTGAGGAAGAGCCTCATGTGACACAAGTTGTGCCCTTAATCTTAACTGTGAGTTCCAGAGACAACTGAACAGGCAGGTCGTGCCAAGTTCTCCCCAGTATATTAGCCTTTTTATGTCATACTCTGYGCTACTGTCTAATCTTCATCACACCTGACTATGATAACACAGGTTCCCCCTCACCCCCCCCCCAAGTCCTTGGGCCTTCATTTCTGAAGGCTCCCTTGTCACCCAACTTACAATAAATAAATTTGTTAGGCTTTTCTCTTGTTAATCTGTCTTTTGTTATAGGGGTATCAGTCATGAACCTTGTAAGGGGTGAGGAAAAGATACCACTTTTTCTCCTCTACACTGCCCAAGTGAGTCACCCCAAGAAAGCAGTTTATGTGTGGATGATCATATAGTGTCATCCTTAAATCCAAAGCTGAGCTGGAGTGATGCTCTTGCTGGATTTGCCCTTGACCAAGGGAAATCCATCTTTATTGTCTCCATAATCAGCTCAAAARCCATTGATGATGAAGTCCTAAATCTAATTCTCAATAAAACCCCAAAAGTTTCGGAGGCAAAACAGAGTGTAGCTCACATTGCCTTTGGACCAATGATTAGGAAAGTATTTTTATAGTTTAGTCCAAAGGCCTAAAATGAGTTTGAAGTTAACAAAGGGGTTGGGGGCAGGTGGGCAATTGGGACCAAGTTGGAGTTTACAAATGAAAATTATTGTTATCTTATCAAAAGGCCACTTCTGAATGGAGCCCCCAGACGAAGCAGAAGTCTGGCTGGTACTTGAACCAGATAAACTTGTTATGCAAATAGCTTTAGCCATAGGGGAAAGGGCTGATAATGAAATTGCTACAAAGCCAACTGCACATTTATAGAGGTGACAAAAACATCAGGCAGGGTCCTAGCATAGGGATAAAAGCAGTGCAGAATTTATGTGAGCATCGTGTTTAATTTATCATAACTAAGCTGTCAGGAGTCATGCTTTGACAAATGCATAACTAACACATATAAATGAGTCAATTATCACTAACAACCAAAGGTTCAGAACCAAACAGGGTAACTTTTTTTTTCTTTCCTTTTAAACCCCAAGACAGGTTTGCTAATAGGATTTTAGACTTTAAAAATATATCTCCTGTCTCCAAATAAGGAGGCGAGAAGCAAATCGGAACAACACTTGGCCACATCCAGGGTTGCTGCCGCCTTGCCTTGCTGGCCCTCCTGGATGCCTGTGCGCCTGCACTCACATGGCCTATCCCCTGTCCACACTGCTGTGATCACTAGGCTGCAGCCAGCCTGACCCATTCAGACCCCTGCAGCCAATGAGATGTCACACAGGTCCTTTGGAGAGGAGTGACCAGCATGAATTGAGAAAGCCCTAAATGACCAAATGGATAATGGGTCTGCAGTTTACATGGTGACAAGGTATCAAGGTTTTTAAAACTGTTAAGAAATTTCCAGTCCTATTTGTTCTTTAGAGACAATCAGTTTTGTTGACCTGAATCCAATGCTCTGTGACTTGGTCTACAAAGGGAACTGAAGCAATTATCTGAATAATTTGGGCTAGAAAMAATTTTCCTAAAATTACCAGTTAATCAATCATCTTCTCCGCCCGAGTCCCTCCAATAATTGAAAGCTTACAATCTGAAGACCTTAATCCTCCACCCTTCTTTTCCAGTACAAGCAAGGTAAGTAGAAAAGCAAACCAAAGCTCTCTCTTTAAATAGACATTTCAAACCCAGGAAGTGCCATTGTTTATATTTAATTAGGGGATTGAATAAATACAGCGAAATCACTTTTGGTAGGTTGAGTGACTACAGCTTAGGGTAGGCCACCTCATTTACAAAACCAAAGGATAACTGTTTGGAAATAGTGGGCAGGTTTTTGACTTAAAGATATGAAACATCATGATCAGTCCCCAGTCTTGAAAATTCCTAAAAATATTGTTAGAAGGAGAATTCATGGTTGAAAAATCTAAAATGTTAATAGGAAAAAGAGGATTGTGCAGCTGAACATCTATAAATATWTAACATATTCACTAATAAAAAAAAAATGAAAACAACTTATTCAAGAAAGAGAAGATTGAGCCAGGCATGGTGGTGCACACCTGTTATCCCAGTGACTCAGGAGGCTAAGGCAGGAGGATCACAGGTTCAAAGCTAGCCTGAGTGACTAACTCAAAATAATAAATAAAAAGGATGGACCTCAGTGTTAGAGTGCCCCTGAATTCAGTCCCCATACTACAGGAGAGAAAGAGCGGGGGAAGTGGGGAGGGAGAGAGGGAAAGGGAGAGGGAGATTGATTTGCCGTAAGGAAATGTCAGGGTGGGGAAGAATTTCTATGTTGTGTATAGCCCTAAAAGCCCCCAACCCTGTCGTCAATGATGTACTTTTATTGTCAAATCCATCCAAGCAATACCACAGTTGTTTTAAGAACACAAACTTACACTTGAAAAAGTATACGGAAGCCAAATTTCTATGAGTCAAATCACATTTTAGAAGCATCAGGAAAACTTGGAATGAGAAGGTGCATCAGTGAATGGGTAATGGATTTTTCTAGGCCAACACCTTAGGAAGGTCAATCAAGGGTATCTGTGTACAGCAACGGAATGAAAAGGAAAAATGTTCGGATCGGTCCTTGCCAACAAAATCACTGGAACCTTAGCTCTCCCAGATTTCTTTCTCTGGGGTGGTCTAAAATGTGGCCCCCAAGCCCAGGGCATATCCTCAGCTCTCTGTTCCCTCTTCCTCTTGTGGCTCCCAAACCTCAGGAAGGTGCCCTTCCTCTGTTCCTGGAGAGCATCATCCCCACTGCAGGTATCTGATGGCCCTCCCACCCTGGCCTGGCATGCCCACCCTGACTGTGGCTGTACCTTCTGCAGTCAGAGCAAAAATGTCAGAGCGGGGTTAGAGGACAAGAGCATGTCCTCCACCCCTGGCCTTGACCTTCACAGTCACATTCCCACAGAGCCTCTCTTGGTAGAGTTCTTTTCCACTCGCCTCTCCTGAGGAATGTGGCCCAAATCCAGGAGGGATTAGACAATCAACAATTTCAGGGACCCTGATCTGTATTGCATTTGGAATGAAAATGAAATACAGGTCCACAGCTCTTATCCAAACCCTTTGGGGCCAAATAAATTTTATCAAAGTTTAGATAAGTAAACGGGTACATTTTACTGTATATTACATAACACCCCCAGCAGGATCTGGGGCAGCACACTGTAATCAAATACTAATATATCTGCAGCAAAACACATGAATATTCACACTAAGTAAGACAAATAATGACTATAAATAGCCTCACATCAGTTCAGGTCATGTGTTGCCACCAAATCGGTTCATACAAGGTCAGGTTTTATTGCTAAATGACTCAACTGTGAAAGCGATTTGGTTTCTCGGAGCTCTTTGGATTTGGGGATTGTGGAGAAGGGATTACAGACCTACACTGTGATTAAGGAAGATGATGAAGACACCCAGTTTGTTTTGTTGCCCAGATTCTTGACGGAAGCTAAGTCTGCACGTCGGCATCAATGAGAAAAATGTGTGTTGGCCTTCCCTACTTCATGTTTATCAGTTATTTGGTCACTTCTGTCCTCCTCCATGACCTCTGAAGAGCTTGCTTGATACACTAAGCTCTGGGGCGCCTCTTCCCAGCRGGGGGCACCTGGGCATGGCTTGCAGTAGATTGGTCAGATTCCTACCCCACGATTCATCAGGCCCCACCTTGGGACCTTAGGACCTCTTCAGCAGACCTAGGATCTTCTGCAGACTTGGAACCAGTGTGGTCCTCTTCTAAGTCCAGGCCCAGGATCCCAGCATTGAGTCACCCTGCTGGTGTCACTGTAGGTTCTGTGTCTTAGATTCAGGAAGTCCTGCCTGGTGGCATAGCTGATATCACACCATTGGATCAATTCTCATCCTGTTCTCTCTCTATAACCTGAGCCTGGATTGGAGAGACTCACTATGCTGTCCCAGGCCCAAGTTCCTACTTTGTCCCCCCATCATCTTGGAAACTAGATGWCCAAGACCCTAGAGCCAAGCCCAACACCCAAGCAGCAACACTTGCTAGAGACTGTCACCTCTGTCTTCTCTCTGGTCCTGGTCCCAGGGTGAACATCAGATTTTTAGATGCTGAGTCTCCTCCCTCAGTGGACATGACATGGTGATAATATTTGGTTCATGACAGAGCAGGTTCTCAGATAGATGTGACCCATGTCATCAAAGGGACTGATTATAACCGAGTCAAATGGAGCTCCTTATTTTTCAGATCCTGCAGAGGCATCCTCTGTCACTCACTGGAACAAATCCTACATCCCAATGTGCTCTTAGGCATAGCCACTTCTAGCACTCAGTAAATTCCACAGCTTGGATTTCCCCAATCACCGTCCAAGGCCTTGCTAAATAAGCAATGTTCAGAGGAAGAAATACTCACTGTGAAATAAAGTGGTTGAATTCCTCACACCATTTTTCTGGATGCAGTAAGGTAGGYGGAGGATTTCTGAAAAACAAAAGCAATTTTTAAAAAGTTAAAGTTCAGCAAAAGGCAAGATGTCAACTTGTCTTTACTGATGTCCTTCTAAATGGCTGCAATAAAATCTTCTGTTTCTTCCCTGGTGGGAGTCACTCATTAGCGGTAACATATCAAGTACCAGCACCTGCTCCTGTGGTCACTCATTTCCATGTCCCCCTCTTTTTCGGCACCTGTGAGAGTTACACAGCTCAGGAACATTCTTCAGCAGCGGACGCTCTAATGAGGGGTGAGGCAGACGCACCAGCCATTAGAACGGAGAGGATTACCAGGGCCACGAGAAAGCTATAAACATAGTGCTAGGGGCTTTAGAGAAATAGACTTTTAATTGTACAGGATTTCCAGATCATTATGGTACCATTTGAATTAATTATAGGATGCATCTAAAGTATACTCATAAATGTATCCATCACATTTTTAACCATTTCCTTGTGCCAACTTCTGCAGTAGGCCCTGGAGAAAGCAGATCAGTTAAAAGAACATCCCAGATTCCAAGAGGCYCCTGGGTAGAAAGGGAGACTGACATATTCTTTTTCTAATTATTGGAGATCCCAGAGAATGAGAGGACCGCAGGAAGACCCTCAGGTAACCAGACCAYCTCCTGGTGAGAAAGCAGAAAACAGGAAGAGCCCAGAACATAGCTGAATATTTACCCCAAAGAGATTTAATTTTAAAATACAAGTGACTGCATGACTTTTAACTGATAATATTTTTTTCTAGCCATTAATGGAAATAGGAGCTTGTGGACAAGTCAAGTTCAGTAAATAAAGAAAGGAAAATTTCTGCACACTTAAATTATGACTGCAAGTTTTAAACCATTATATGTGTAATCTGTGTTTTCTCCTGGATTCTAACTGCTTCCCAAAGCTTCAGAGTGCTCAGCTTCAGCAGGCAAAGGAATGGTTAGCACCAAGAATTGCCAGAACAAAATCTGTATCAGGCCGGGTATGGTGGTGCACGCCTGTAATCCCAGAGGTTCAGGAGACTGAGGCAAGAGGATCGCAAGTTCAAAGCCAGCCTCAGMAACTTAATGAGGCGGTAAGCGACTCATGAGACCCTGTCTCTAAATAAGATACAAAAAAGGACTAGGGATGTGCTCAGTACCAAAAAAGAAAAAAGAAAAAAAAAAAACTGCATCAGAATAGTGTGATTCCGATTTGCCTCTCAGAATCTAGTTTCTTCTCATATTGTGTATGTGTGTGTTTGTGTGTGTGTGTGTGTGTGTGTGTGTGTGTGTTGATGGAATTTATTCCAGGAGAACTTTACCACTGAGTTATATCCCCAGCCCTTTTTTCATTCTGAGACAGAGTCTTGCTAAGTTGCTGAGGCTGGCTCAAACTTGTGATCCTTCTGCCTCAGTCTTCTGAGTAGCGGGAATTATAGGCATGTACCACCATGCCTGGAGTCTCTTTATGGCACAGTTTTTATTTTTGACACATTGCTGTCATAATAAAGACTATAATTTCTTTAGTTGCTTGCCCCTAAATGTGGCTACCTGAGTTCTGACTAATATAGAAGTAAAATTATTGTGCAGTATTTCCAGAAACTCTCCTTAAAAGAAAAGAGACATTTCATTCTTTTTCTTCCCTCTTCTTGCATTCTGGAGCAAGGAAGTGATGGCTGGAGCTACAGCAGTCATTGTAGACATGAGACAAACTTGAAAATAAAAGCTCTGAGCTGAGTTTGGCAGAGAAGATAGGGAGGAAACTGGATTCATGATGTCATTACAAAGTTTCCATACCAGCTCTTGATTGCTTTTACCTCCTTAAATAGGAGAAAGAATAAACTTTTATCTTCTTTAARCTGTTGTTATATACAGTTGAGCCTAATATTTTTTAATTTTTAAATTTTATTTATTCTAATTTGTTATAYATGACAACTAGAATGTAATTCAATTCATATTACACAAATAGAGCACAATTCTTCATGTCTCTGGTTGTACACAAAGTAGAGTCACACCGTTTGTGTTTTCATACGTGTACTTAGGGTAATGATGTCTGTCTCATTCCACCGTCTTTCCTACCCCATGCCCCCTCCCTTTCCCTCCCTCCCCTTTGCCCTATCTAGAGTTCATCTAATCCTCCCATGCTCTGCCCCCATCCCCATTATGAATCAGCATCCTATGTCAGAGAAGACATTCAGCATTTGGGTTTGGGGGATTGGCTTACTTCACTTAGCATTATATTTTCCAACTCCATCCATTTACCTGCAAGTGCCATGATTTTATTTTCTCTGTAATGCTAAGTAATATTCCATTGTGTGTGCGTGCATGTGTGTGTGTGTGTGTGTGTGTATCTCACATTTTCTTTATCCATTCATCTACTGAAGGGCATCTAGGTTGGTTCCACAGTTTAGCTATTGTGAATTGTGCTGCTATAAACATTGATGTGGCTGTGTCCCTGTAGTATGCTCTTTTTAGGTCTTTTGGGTATAGTCCGAGAAGGGCAATAGCTGGGTCAAATGGTGGTTCCATTCCCAGCTTTCAAAGAATCTCCATACTGCTTTCCATATTGGCTGCACCAATTTGCAGTCCCACCAGCAGTGTATGAGTGTGTCTTTCTCCCCACATCCTCACCAACACTTATTGTTGTTTGTATTCTAATAACTGCCATTCTGACTAGAGATGAAATCTTAGAGTAGTTTTGATTTGCATTTCTCTAATTGCTAGAGATGTTGAACATAGTTTCATATATTTGCTGATTGATTTTATATCCTCTTCTGAGAAGTGTCTGTTCAGGCCCTTGGCCCATTTATTGGTTGGATTATTTGGTTTTTAAGTGATTATTATTTTTGGTGTTAAGATTTTTGAGTTCTTTGTACATCCAGAGATTAGTGCTCTATCAGATATGTGTGTGGTAAAAATTTGCTCCCATTCTGTAGGGCTGAGCCTAATTTTGAGCCAAATATTATTTCAGGATATTATCCTACATAAGATTAGAATACAATTTGAGAATACAATTTGAGAAGTCATGTAACAAAAGCACAAGTGCAAAGGTGTGTAGAAGCAWAACAAAGGGCTGCTTATGCAATGTGGGGAGTTCCAGAGACTTTATAAAGATGAACCTGAGCTGGACCCTGAAGATTATGTTGGATTTTTCAAGTTAGAGAAGGCAAAGGAAGCCATTCCAGGGTTAGAATGCAGCATGCACCAAGTCACAGGTATTTAAGGAGTCTGGCAGGTTTGAAGAAGATGAGTAATTTTGAGGTTAGACTTGTAGTTTGCTCGATYGTCTCCAGGCTTCTGCTCCCTCCATCCTCATCTAGGTCAGTTCTGCAGGTGAGAGMTGCAGGAGCAGCCCACTGCTCAGAGCTTCACCTACCCCCAAGCATCTCACATGACCACGAAGTCCTTTCTGGGCAGACTGGACAGACTCAACTGCAACAACGTTATGGGCTCAATGCCAGCCGCCCTCTGGGTCTCCCAATAATTAGGTCAAGTATGTGCCTGTCTCCCTTTCTGTTCAGGAGCCTCTTGGTGTTTGGGGCATTGTTCTGGCTGTTTTGCTTTGTCCAGTTACGCAAGGAGGGGCATCTCTCAGCCACAGCTGAGAACGCCCTGGCAGGGGTCCAGTGAGCAGTAAATGGCAAGGGTCCACTGTGGCGCAGGAATACCGCGCCTATCTGCTTTCTGCCTGTTCCCCAGCAGGGAAGGTGGACAGGGGCCACTACCTAGGTGTTGGCTTCAGGAGAGCGGCAGCAGGTCACCACTCAACCCACCTACCCTCATGGCTTCTCCTGAACCCACACAAGGAAACATCTCCACTGAAGCTGAGCTTCGTTGGATTTGGGTTAGAGAAGCCCATTGGCTCTTGTGGATTCCTGCCTCTCCTGGAGCCCACTGTGGCTCTTAAAACRCAATCTTGTGAAAGATTCTTGTCTGTGTATAAGGAAACCCAATAGGAATTTGGAGACTTGACAGTGCTTTCTAGTTCTCTCACAATCCAGGATGGTCCCCAGGTAGTAATGCTGGCACCTCCTTGGCTCTGCCAACCCTGCAGGTGCAGCCCTGCCCAGAGGGTCTGTCTTTAAGAGAAGGCCGGACTTGACTTCCAGAGCCAGTGACTGTGACCCAGGGACTCCTCATGCATGAGGGTGGCCTTCAGATGGATGAGTGGCTGGAAGGCCCACGCAGCCCAATGACCAACTCTCATGTTGAGCAACACAAGACCACAGAGACTGCCAGTCAGCCTAAGGGAAGACGACTATAGTCATGTGAGTTTTGCCCCCCTGGACTGGAAAACTGTGGTTGGGATCCAAAATTCAGTTCCTATTAAGATGGTCCCCTGCCCAAGACAGCATCAGGGCCATGTGAGGCTAGCAGTGAGAGGTGAACCTATAATCTTTCCATTTTGACATAATCCTGTGTTCCCCAAATACAATGCAGGTAAAGTCAACCCTCCTGTCCCCAAAGCCGGAACAGTCTGGATTCATCCTAGTCCCTGAAATAGAGAAATAGCCCATTGGACCATAGAGGGCACCTGGTCTCAGGTCATTTAACTGAATCTGATGACTTGTGCCACAGTGTGACTCTGTATGATAAGCTGGGACCACTCAATTCTCTTCCAAAGGTTTTTTTTTTCATATATATATATATATATATATATATATATATATATATATAGTAACCTTAAATACTGACAGAATAAGGCTATTTAGAAATGGAAACCGAAATATCCCCGAAGAGGCAGACAGAGAGGCCACAGCATCCAGCAGAAATGATGCATAGGCTGGACGCAAGTCATGGGGAGAAAACAGGCTGGGTAAAGGGGAGGCAAGAAACCTGCCCAAATGCACAGACACCAGGTAGGTGCTTCTCCCTCTGGTGTACCTGATATTAGCAGCCCCAGGGTTCTTTTGGTGGCCCTGTTCTCTTCCCATTTCACACATTCACCAAGGGTTCGCTGTATGTTAACAGCTGCCGGACCAGCATCTCCCTCCTTGATTTCTTGTCTGTCTTCTAGGTGGTACAT